CAAAATGTTTCGATAGTTATTTAGTTTATATTAATATATAACTCTATCAAAAGCAATATTATTGAGTGTATATATATGTAAAATATATGTAGTAATATATATGTAAAATTTAATTTTAGAATTATTAATTTAGATTATTAAGAGGATTCTTAATAAAGCTTCCAAGACATTTCCTTTTTTTCGAAAATGCCAACAGATTCCTTACCTCGGATATTCATCGCGGTATATAATAGTCGGCGCGAACAGGAAATACAAATAATGGGAAAATTGGGGTACGTTCGGTGGTAAAACATCATTATGGGGTTTATATGAGTGAAATCTAGGTGTCACACTTCTAACGAAAGCGTGATTCTTCATTATCATACGTAACTGAAAGAAGAAATATCCGTTTTTATGTGAAAAAAATCATTGTTACATTTATATACATATTTTAATTTTTAATATTATGCATAAGATATTCAATTTTTATAATATTATTATATATTAGTATTATTTCTCTAATATTATTATAGAGTCTTTTTAGTCAAAAATATGTTATATCGAAAAAACTTTGAATAGAACTAAAATTTTATATACTTGTTCCATAATTATGATGATATTGCAAGCTATGCCTAAATTCTCTCTAATCATCGCTCTGTTTGGAATAATTATAAGAAGAACTTGATAAATTATGAAGATTGTCAGCCAACTGTAATCCCATAATTTCCGGGCCAGAGCTGTAAGAATGGAATTATAAATATTATTTCAATCGAAATGATTTGATAATTCTTATGATTATATTGGATTGTATTAATTATATTACACTTTTATGCTATACTCTTATTAATATTGCGTTACAGAGTAAAACAACCGTTCAATAATTTTATTACTTTCTACATAAATAAGCAATTTGTATATCTAATTTTTATATCGATTAATTCTTTCTAAATTATTTTGTTCTTTGAAGTAAGTTTTTCTAATCTTATTCGAATATAATAACAGAAAGCAGATTAAAGAAATCATTACATTTTGGCGAATACCGTAGTCGTTGAAGAGACCAGAAATTGAATGCAACGTAGACACCGAATGTCGAGATTAGCATGACCAAATGTAGAGACAAGTCGATAATTTCGCGAAACCATTACGTATCGTGACGGTTCCGAGGACTAACCTAAATAAATATAAATTAGTAATAAAATAAATATAAATAAGAAATTTTATGCAATTTTGTAATAAACTAGAAATATCTTAATTATCGTCTTAACACGTACGCAAATATTCTTTTAGATAGTAATAATGGTTTTGCTTTAGTGTCATTTATTTAAAGCGATTACTTTGTTTTTCAGATAAACCATAATCTCTTTGTCAAAAATGTGTAAAATTATATATTTAACGTAATCATATATTTATAAAACTTTTTGCGAGTCAAATTTTTACGTTTTGTAGATAAATTTAGAATTAATATCTCGATCTGAATTAAATTGCAAGCAATTAAAAAGTAAATTAAATTTTAAATTGGAAATTAAAGAATAAAATTCTTTTTAATAAATTTAAATTTTTATAGGTATTTTAATCATAATTAAACACACTTTTATTTTTTTCCTCAAAAATTAAATGAAAAAAATGTTTAATGAGATTTTATTTGTAAATTTAGTTAAATAATATGTACTGTGTGTGTTGAAAATTTTTGATAAACAATTTTTGATAAACTTTTTTAAAGGATCATTGAAAAATTGTAGTCGACCAAACTAGCCAAAAAATTGAGTTTATTAGTACGACGTTTCGACCATATGATCGTGTGTTACTATGTATTCAAACCGTTAATTTACTTATTTATAAATCTTTTTTAGTGTATACTTGATAAGGACCACAATCATATGGTCGAAACGTCGTACTAATAAACTCAATTTTTTTTTGGCTAGTTTGGTCGACTACAATTTTTCAATGATCCTTTGATTATTCGACTAGCGATATTAAATTATTTACAATTTTTTAATAACTTTTTTCTTTAATTTTTTAAATTTTTGTGAAAAATAAACAAACCGATTTTGAATTAATCAAACAATTAAGTTAAATTCACGCCAAGTTTTGGACGGTATCATAATACACATATAAAAAATTTAATATTGTGAATATAAGGAAATGCAAAATATAAAGCAAAAATTTATTATTTCAAGTACGGATTTTACGAAGCACTCATTTTTCATTCTACACATTAAAATTAATAATTTTGCTTACGTTCCAGACTCTATGATGTCATGCACAGCGGTGTCGAGAAGAAGTAGTATAAACGTCACCATAAATATATTGTAAACTGTGCGAATGTGCGTGATCTCGAAGAGATCAGTTAGCAGCGAATTTCTCTCCACAAATTTCTTCTCCGGAAGCACAAGTTCCATGTTGACTTGTCTAAGGCATAAATGCGAATAATTAATGTAAAGTAATGTAGATCAATGTAAAATATGTTTATATATGTTTATATAATTTTATGCCTATTTGTTATGCGTCTTTTTGTTATACTTTTTGTTATACTTTTTTGTTTTACTTTTATGCTTTGCAACATATGCTTAATGTTACGTAATATTAGATTGCACAACGCAATCTGTTTAAAAAATCTTTAGAAGACATTCTAATGATATCCAATCGCTCAACGATGTCTTCCGAATATCTTCTAGATATCTTTTGGATGTGTATACTATAGGGGAAAGGCAATGATAATATTTTTTATTTATAGTTTGGCATATTAATAGATATTAGTTGAATTAAAATTAAGGAATAAGTCAAGCTCTCATCGTTTATAGCGATATTTATCTGAGTTATATGAGAAGTTTCTCTGTTTTGACAAAGACATTTCTGTCGTCTGTGATATTGAAAATAATACCAGACATGATGCGATTGCTAACGCAATCATAAACATCTATTTTTAATTTTTGAAAAATTCGGATAGACAATTTTTAGAAAAATAATTGACTGGAAAAGCGCGCTTATCATACACGAGCGAATATATCGTATGTTATGAGGATCAAATTTTCTATAAACGCATTGATTCAAGATTATTACTTTTAACAAAGACAATTTTGCGATTCAAATTTAACTTTGTCACTTTTATTCAATCAAGTGTAATAGATCCAATTTGCATTAAGATATATCTTAAGATGCAAATTTTTTGCGACTCACTCACAAGATTGATGTTTATTTCATCGAATAATCTGAAAAAATCGTTTTAAATTTTTACGTAATACTATAATTGAACAAAACACTTATAAGAATTGCGCTTCTTTTGTTCACTGCTGTTTTATGCCAAATCATCAATGTAAATTTACAGTAACTGTGCACGCTCGGTTTTTGTCGATGCGTATCTTTGCCGTTTGATCGTAAACAAATTAAGACGAAATTGAAGTAATATAACACTCTGCAGGTGTATATCTTTTTAATATTATAAGCAAGTATTGCTATAACAATATAATAAACTAAATAATGTACAATAGACATTAAATGTATTATCAATAAAAATGCAGATATTAGTTTATATTAGTAAGTAGCAAGAACAGGCAAGTGGCAAGAAAAACAGACTATTGTTGATTGCTACATTCGTCGCTTATAGCAATCAGTTTATCGCGACTAACGTCTCTCGTAATCGCCTATATCGCGTCGTCCCTGCCTACCTCTCGTACTCGTTCCGTAATTAGTGAACTATTTTCCTTTATAGTTTAAAAACTAAACTCCGGGAAAAATTTTACTAGAGGAAAAATCGTCTTAGAATTCATTCAATATTTGATGTTTTAAAGACAAATGTTTGTTTAGAATCATCCTGTATGTATATATATATATATATATATATATATATATATATGTGTGTGTGTGTGTGTGTGTGTGTGTGTGTGTGTGTGTGTGTGTATATTTTACATATTATATAATATTATATAATATTTTCATATTATTTTTATATTTAGCGGCGTTAACGATTTTCTCTAAATAAACATTTTTTAAACATTTTTGTGGAAATCTATGGTTATATAGCTTAAGGGAGCCACCTTGGATAACCTTAATCATGATATATATTATCAAGATGATGTCTAACAAGTAATATTCAAAAGGTTTTAGTCGGCGATCGTTGTTTATTTAAAAGTTATGAATAAAAGAAGTTTCATAAGTTAATGAACTTAATGAATTGATGAATACATGTATTAATGAATACATTTATCGAGAGAAGAGCAAAATTCACTCTTAACTAGGGATATCAATATAAGTTAAGGTTAAATATAAATGAACTTTGCTTCTTTTTGAAAAAGAAAAAATATATAACCCTAATACTAGAATTATATAACACTTTGTATATAATATATGGGTAAACCTTCGGAAAACTCACCTCTATATGAAATAATGGGTAAGAATACCCAATTCCTATGTATATACCTCCTGAATACGAATATGAAACTTAAAAATGGCAGTCGGACTCGCAAATTGAAAAAAGACGCAAAAAATCAATAAACCTTTGAAAACGTACCTCTATAAAATAATGGGTAAGAATATCCAATTCTCACGTATTTTTACTATCTAAACACAAATTTGAAATTAAAAAAATGGCTCTCGAAACAAGAAACATAGAAAATAGCAGCAAAGAACACAGAAAAATATACAATTTAATACAATAAAAAAATATCACAAATGTATGTGTACAAACACACACACGCGGTGATTGCAAGGAGGGCTTTTGGCCTCTTTAATCGCAACCATCCCGCCGCACCAGGACATCCAAATTCTTTGCCAAAAACCAAGTATGGAATTTAAGTAACAGAAATTATTCACATTTTTGTAGGTACTATAAAGTACTTGCAAATCGACTCTAATGTACATATTCATTGATTAATATCATTGGGAGGCACTTTGAACTTAGAAAACCACATAAAATCAGTAATAGGAAGCATAGTGCATTAACTAAATATATTTTCGAAAAATGTTGTCATATACAGTTTTTTTGTATTTTTGCATTTATAAATGTTGAAAAAGAATAAAATAAGTAAAATAGCTATAGAGAAATATGCGACTTTAATGTGTCTGATAAAATTTCTTTAATTGAGATTTTCCATGTTTGCGTATTATCGATTATCGCCACACTTGAACTTCTCACTCAAATGAGAAAAATGAAGTATCATTTTATTCGATAAAATGTGTGCATTATTATTGACTTTCTCAATTTTGTTCGTTTTCATTTCTTTATTTTTTTTTTAATCTCACTCACGCTGACAGTTCCAACTTTGCGGTAGAAGCAAGTCGGCATAATAGTTGGAATAGGACAAACAGTTATAATTGGTATAATATACCATCGCGTAAGTGCTCATTATGATGCCATTGCTGAGGCAGCAGATCATGCACATGGTAAGGTTGTTGAAGCTTATGTTGCTAAGCACCAGAACAAAGTTGAGGCCGCCGAATAGGATCAACATCACCGGATAAAAGAAACGTAAAGCAAACATGGCTATATATTCGTGACAAACTCCAGATACGAGAAACACAGTGAAGATTGCCAACGGCTTGTTGCGTGGTACCACGATCTCATACATGTCCTTGTAGAGATACGTGTAGAGCCAATCGTGTACTATCACGTTCCACGTACGATTCCACATAGGAAAGGATGTGGAATTCCACCAATCCTGCAACCGACGAATAGTTTATACAATTTTTCTACCTCGCAGGACATTTTCATTAGAGATAATTTGACGATCGTATGATTGAGATTTACCTTATAAAACAATCGGTCGGCGAATCGCAGCATCTCGGCCCAGGCGTTCATCCACGCATGCAGCAGAAGATAGTTTGAGCTCATGAAGAAGAGGAACCCGGGAATGCTCGCTCCGATAATAATCTTGATGAACCACGTCGATTCCAGAGGCCATGTGTCGAAGGTTCGAAAGACCGGCGCCACTAAGCGCTCCAGAATGAAGGTGTAATAAAATATCACCAGGACGACCTCGCCGAAATATTGACACACAAACATCCATCTGATTTTTTTTGTCCTGATAAATAAAACGTGCGAATCATTCTTGAATTTTTCAATTAATATTGCCGAAATAGTAATATATTATCGAGATACCGTTTATTGTAATTGATCTAAAAGTTCAAAAATTATTGGAAAAGATTAAGAATTTTTTTTCTAAATACTTTTTTAAATATATTTTAAAATGCTTCAAAAGTTTTTTATTTTATATTAATATACAACTCTATCAAAAGCAATATTATTAAGTGTACACGAAAAATTTAGTTTCAGAATTAATAATTTAGATTATTAATAGGATTCTTAAAGAAACCTCCAATACATTTCGTTTTTTTTTTCGAAAATGCCAACAGATTCCTTACCTCGGATATTCATCGCGGTATATAATAGTCGGCGCGAACAGGAAATACAAATAATGGGAAAATCGTGGTACGTTCGGTGGTGAAACGTCGTTATGGGGTTTGTATGAGAGAAATCTAGGTGTCACACTTCTAACGAAAGCATGATTCTTCATTATAATACGTAACTGAAAGAAGAAACACCCGTTTTTAAATGAAAATAAATTATTGTTACATTTATTTACATATTTTAATTTTTAATATTATCCATAAGATATTCAATTTTTCTAATATTATATATTAATAATATTTTTCTAATATTATTATAGAGTCTTTTTAGTGTCAAAAATATGTTATATCGAAAAAAACGTTGAATAGAACTAAAATTTTATATACTTGTTCCATAATTATGATGATATTGCAAACTATGCCTAAATTCTCTCTAATCATCGCTCTGTTTGGAATAATTATAAGAAGAACTTGATAAATTATGAAGATTGTTAGCCAACTGTAATCCCATAGTTTCCGGGCCAGAGCTGTAAGAATGGAATTATAAATATTATTTCAATCGAAATGATTTGATAATTCTTATGGTTATATTGGATTGTATTAATTATATTACACTTTTATGCTATACTATTATTAATATTACGTTACAGAGTAAAACAACCGTTCAATAATTTTATCACTTTCTACATAAATAAGCAATTTGTATATCTAATTTTTATATCGATTAATTCTTTCTAAATTATTTTGTTCTTGAAAGTTTTTCTAATTTTATTCGAACATAACAACAAAAAGCAAATTAAAGAAATCATTACATTTTGACGAATACCGTAATCGTTGAGAAGACCAGAAATTGAATGCAACGTAAACACCGAATGTCGAGATTAGCATGAGCGACCAAATGTACAAACAAGTCGGTAATTTTGCGAAACCGTTACATATCGTGACGGTTCCGAGGACCAACCTAAATAAATATAAATTAGTAATAAAATAAATATAAATAAGAAATTTTTTGCAATTTTGTAATAAACTGGAAATACCTTAATTAACATGCCAATAGTCTTTTAGATGGTAGTAATGATTTTGCCTTTGTTGTGTCATTTATTTAAAGTGATAACTTTGTTTTTCAGATTAACCGTAATTCTTTGTCAAAAATGTATAAAGTTATATATTTAACGTAATCATATATTTATAGAATTTATCGCAAGACAAATTTTTATATTTTTTAGATAAAATTTAAAATTAATATCTCGGTCTTAATTAAATTGCAAACAATTAACAAGTAAATTTTTTATAATGGAAAATAAAAAATAAAATTCTTTTCAATAAATTTTAATGTTCTATAAGTATTTTAATCATAATTAAATACACTTCTATTTTTTCATTTTTTCTTTCATTCTAAAAAATTAAATAAAAAAAAATGTTTTAAAATTTGATAAAATTTTATTTATTAATTTAATTAAATGATATGTACTGTGTGTTGAAAATTTTTGATAAACAATAATTCCTTTCTTTAATTTTTTAAATTTTCGTTAAAAGTAGACGAACCGATTTTGAATTTATCCGACCATTAAGTTAAATTCACACCAAGTTTTTAAACAGCATCATAATACACATATAAAAAGTTTAATGTTGTTAATATTAGAAAATGCAAAATATATAAGGCAAAAATTTATTATTTTAAATACGGATTTTGTGGATCATTAATTTTACGTACTACTAGACATCGAAATTAATAATTTTGCTTACGTTCCAGACTCTATGATGTCATGTACAGCGGTGTCGAGAAGAAGCAGTATAAAAGTCACCATAAATATATTGTAAACCGTGCGAATGTGCGTGATCTCGTAGAGATCAGTTAGGAGCGAATTTCTTTCTAAAAATTTCTTCTCCGGTAAGACACGTTCCATGTCGATTTGTCTGAGACAAAGATGCGAATAATTAATATGTTTGTAAATTTTGTTATGCTTTTTATGCTTCACAATATGCGCTTAATATTACATAATATTAGATTGTACAACGTAATCTGTTTTAACATCTAGAGGACATTCTAAAAATGTGCAATCGCCCAACGATGTCTTCGGGATATCTTCTGAATGTCTTTTGAATATGTATGCTATGTGAAGGAGGTAATGCTAATATTTTTTATTTATAATTTTGAATATTAATAGATACTAGTTGAATTAAAACTGACGAATATATCAAACTCTTTCATTGTTTATCGCGATATTTATCTGGGTTATATGAAAAGTTTCTCTGTTTTGACAAAAACATATCTGTCGTCTGTGATATTTAATGTAATATCAGACATGATGCGATCGCTAACGCATTCATTAACATCTTTCTTTAACTTTTGAAAAATTCGGATAGACAGTTTTTAAAAATAATTAACTGGAAAATCGCGTTTATCATCACGAGCGAATATATCGTATGTTATAGGGATGAAGTTTTCTACAAACGCGCTGATTCAAGATTACTGCTTTTAACAAAAACAATTTTGTGATCCGAATTTAACTTTGTCTTTTACATTCGCATTCGATCAAGTGCAATAGATCCCATTTGCATTAAGATATATCTTAAGGTACGAATTTTTCACGATACTCACAAAACTGATGTTAATTTCCTCGAAGAATCTACCTGAGAAAATCGTTTTCAATTTTTACGTGGAACATTATAATCGAACAAAAGATTTATAAGAATACTAACTAAAATTAAATTGGGATTTTCAGATCAATTTTCAGATTGTTATTGTATTCGAATTCCGAATTGATTTGAGTTTGAGACTCAAACTTTGAATGCTAAGCGACGCGATCGCACTTCTTCTGTCCAGTGCTTAAAAATGCCAGTGCATCAATCTGCAAATTCACAGTAACTGCATGCTCAGTTTTTGTCGATGAGTGTCTTTATCGTTTGATCGTAGGCAAATTAAGACGAAATTGAAGTAATATAACACTCTTCAGATGTACATTTTTTAAAAACAATTATAAACCAGCATTTATTATAAACAAGCATTCTTATAACAATATAATAAACTAAATAATGTACTTATCGCTTGGCATTTTTTGATCGAGTTTCTACAAAAATCCGCACTCAAACGGTTAATTTTCATAATTTCCAGATTAATCGCAACGCAAAATAATTTGCATTGTGATTAATCTGGAAATTATGAAAACACGAATAATCCGAACAATTTGCAATAAAATACAAACTGTTATTTTTAAATCACTTCACTTTCGATCTGGACTGGATACCTATTTTATAAGAGTAGCTATGCAACTATATGCATCTTTCACGCTTGAATGGCTTTATATTGTCGGTCACCCCACCAGCATGTCAAAATTAAATTCATGAAGTGATTCTTGAACAGAAATCAATATTTGTTTTTCATCGATTACTTTTTTCAGTTGTGTTGTTACGATAATAAGTTGTCGAATTCGAAGATCATAATTTATCATAACAAAAATAAAAGTATAAATTATTGAAATATCTACAATTGAAAATGTAAGATGGAAAAAACGAAAAGGGGAATTACTTTTAAGAGAGAAATTATATATTTCTTATTATATATAAAAATTATATATGGTTTATAATTTATATATAATCAAAAATAAAATTCTAATGAAATCTAATAAGTTGTTGATCAATCTTTATTAACGCAACCTTATATACACACACATATATATACACATATATACAACTTATTAGATTTTTTATCTAGAATTAAAATTATTGAATCATATTTCTTATTCGATTATAGAGCTAATAATTATATAGAATTAATAATTATTATCAAGAAGACGTGAGAAGAAAAATATTTTTTATTAATATGAAATAATGGGAAAATTATACAATAAATGTAGAAGGCAAATCACTTCAATTAACAATTCAAATTCGATTCATTAGAAGGAAAGACAGAGATCAAGAGTCTTCAAGGAGATTATTCAAGGAGATACAAATAACTTTGTAAATTCTAACAAATCACGTATTTTATTTTAACAATTTTGATTCTAAATTATTAAAATAAAATAAAGGTCCGTAGGATAAAATCAATAAAATTTCATAAAAGGCTTAAATGACCAGCGTAATGGTGAAAAGATGCAAAAATAAAAACGGTTATATTAATATAATAAACCTAGTAAAACGTTTATTTGATTTAAGTGACAAACGCTGCGTTTCGATCCAATTCGGATCCTTTTTAATGTCAAATCACGGAATAAAGTAATAAACATAAAAATAATATATTTATTTTATTTTTATGTTTATTACTTTATTCCGTGATTTGACATTGAAAAGGATCCGAATTGGATCGAAACGCAGCGTTTGTAACTTAAATCAAATAAACGTTTCATTAGGTTTATTATATCCCTAAAAAAATTACCCTTTTAAAAAAAAGGTAAAAAAAGGTGCTAAGTCCGCGTAAAAAACAGTATATGTATTTGCAAAATAGTGTATTATTAACTGTAAAAAAACTACTGTATTGTATATCTTACAAAAATAATGATATTAAAAAATTGCGCTAAGTGAAAATAAAAACTTATAAAAATACTTTAGCCAAAAAAAGTTATACAAAATAGTTGTTTTAATTTTCTACATTATATCCTAGAAAAATAATGATATCCAAAAATTACGCTAATTGAAAATAAAAACTTAAAATATTTTAACTAAGAAAAATTGTACAAAATAATTGTTTTAATTTCCTACAAATAATATTAAAAAGTTGCGCCAACTGAATAAAAATTTTCACTATAAAATATACATATTTCTTTTTTATTTTCAATATTAAAAGAAAAATGATATTAAATGAATTGTAATATATCTATTATAAAAAATCGTTGAAAATATGAACAATCATATACATTGCAATAATCATAGGCATATATCCTGAAGAGTTTAATTAAAAAAAAAAAAAAAAAATGATAATACAAAATACAAAATTAAACATTAATAAAAAAAATTAAAAATTATTAGAATTTAATAAAAATAAAAATTTATATAAAAATTAAAAATTAATACATATAAAAAAATTTTAGTTAAAAAACTTAGCGCTGCTACTTTCATTAGCATATTAGCACATTTATTCAGCGTAGCAGCGCTAAGTTTTTTAACTAAAATTTTTTTATCTGTTAATTTTTAATTTTTATATAAATTTTTATTTTTTTATTAATTTCTAATTTTTAATTTTTTTATTAATTTTTAATTTTGTATTTTGTATTATCATTTTCTTTTTTTTTTTTAATTAAACTTTTCAGGATATATACATATGATTATTGCAATGTATATGATTGTTCATATTTTCAACTTTTTTTTTTATAATATTTTTATAATAGATATTTTTATAATAGATTTTTTATAATAGATATATTACAATTCATTTAATATCATTTTTTTTTTAATATTGAAAATAAAAAGGAAATATGTATATTTTATAGTGAAAATTTTTATTCAGTTGGCGCAACTTTTTAATATTATTTGTAGGAAATTAAAACAATTATTTTGTACAATTTTTCTTAGTTAAAATATTTTAAGTTTTTATTTTCAATTAGCGTTTGGATATCATTATTTTTCTAGGATATAATGTAGAAAATTAAAACAACTATTTTGTATAACTTTTTTTGATTAAAGTATTTTTATAAGTTTTTATTTTCACTTAGCGCAATTTTTTTAATATCATTATTTTTGTAGGATATACAATACAGTAGTTTTTTACAGTTAATAATACACTATTTTGCAAATACATATACTGTTTTTTACGCGGACTTAGCACCTTTTTTTACCTTTTTTTTAAAAGGGTAATTTTTTTAGGGATATCACTCTTTTTTGTACTATATATTAAACATCTTTAAATAAATGAACAAAGAACCCGACACTACCTCCGTCATATTTCATTAAAATTCGACGGTCCTCTTTGCTTACTATATAGATATTCAGATCCTTCAAACTTCTTTGCTATTCTTATTGCAAAAATACGGATAACTACAAATCAATATATCATTAGAAACCGTACACTCCTTTTCTTTCAAAAACTAAGCATTTTAGAGAAAAACGTTTTCGACAAAAATTGTATGGTTTTGAGGGGAACATAAAATGGTGTCATTGGTTTGACCTTGGATAGCATCGTTAAGGTTAGGTCGAGGACACCTTTAATTTCTTAAATGGAACCACCTATTTTTTATTACATATTCTTATAGTTTATGTCGAGAGCTTTCCAAAACACTGTAATAAAATATTTTTTCATTGAGTATTTTTCGATTTATGAGGCTTAAAATAATATCTTAATTTTACATAAACTATAAAATACCTAGTAAAATATTTATTTTTCGAGTATCTTACCTTAATACTTTTATGTACAAAATAATGAGAGAAATCAATTGGTGTAAAAAAAAACACAGAGTTGTTTTTAAGAAAAAATATGTAATTGTTAATTGCAAATTACATATTTTTTCTTCGGAACAATTATGTGTTTTTTTAACACCAATTGATTTCTCTCATTATTTTGTACATAAAAGTATTAATGTAAGATAATCGTAAAATAAATATTTTATTAGATATTTTGAGATTTTTAGATAGTTATGTAAAATTAAGATATTATTTTAAGCCTCATAAATCGAAAAGTACTCAATGAAAAAATATTTTATTATAGTGTTTTGGAAAGCTCTCGACATAAGCTATAAGAATGTGCAATAAAAATAGGTGGTTCCATTTAAGAAATTAAAGGTGTCCTTGACCTGACCTTAACGATGCCATCCAAGGTCAAACCAATGACACTATCTTATGTTCCCCTCAAAACCATACAATTTTTGTCGAAAACGTTTTTCTCTAAAATGCTTAGTTTTTGAAAGAAAAGGAGTGTACGGGTGGTCTATGGCCGGTATTCATAGTCCGATCTTATATTTAAGATCGTCTTAAGTCTGGTCCGAGGT